GTTGTTGAAGTTCAAAGTTTTGTGTTATTCTGAGAGTCTAAGATCATTCCAAGTCTCAATTTAATTTAGGTTACAGACAAGCCAAGAGGTGCATTTGATACAGGAACCTGATAAAAGTGAGGGAGAGACCATACAGACAGTCCAGGAAATGTTAAAATGATTATCTGCTCCACTTGTAGAGTACTTCCTCCAAAACTATGAGCTATATGCTGGTAATTTCTGCCTTGATTCTCCAGCTGATTTGTGACCATGGAACATTTAGTTTAGTTTTTTTCCGTGCTCTTTTAAATGGGACAAAAGGCAAGCAGCAAAAAATGCTAAATGTTTTTAAAGTTCACATGTATATATATATATATATTATATCAGCACTAATTGCACTAATTGCACTGATTTCTTTTGCTGTTTGAGGATAGAGAAACTCCAAAATAAGTTCACTAAGCCACAGCCATGACATATTCACCTTTATGGCTGTGTATTAATACAATACGTATCACGATACAGGGGTTACGATTCAGTATAGTGCGATAAATTGCGTTTTTTTATGCTACCAGAACATTTATCGTTCATATATATTTTTGAAAATCCATACAATATCACAGGACAAAATATTGCAATGTGATATTTTTCGATATTTTCTTACACCCCTATGAACCTTGTAACATTTTTATGGGTTATGTGTTAGAAAACAGTTACCTATTCACTAGTCCACCCAAGTAAATCTTCCTGCTGGTGCACAGTACTATAGGACAAGCCTACTACTTACATGATCTAGCTTAGAAATTTCTGAGTTTGGTTAGGTTTAGGCACAAAACCTACTTTATTTAGGGGGGAAAAATCATGGTTTAAGTTCAAGTAAGTACATTAATCCAGGAGGTTATCGCAGGCAGTGTGTCATGTGGGCCAGACTGCAGATACACCCAGTCCAGCAGACATGAAGCAACATTAACATTCATTTAAAGTTGTGTATCTTTTCTTGAAAAATGCAGTGTTCTTTGTTCCTTGGCTTTGTATTTGGTCTCCACCAACTACTAAACATTCAACTGTCTTTATGTGCTAGTCACTAACTTTATTGTGTGGTGCTGAGCAGGTGGCATACAGTTGGTTTATCATGGCTTCTTTGCAGAAAACAACTGCTGTTCTTCTGCTGGAAACCGGGTTCATGAGAGTGCTTTAAAGGTGCTTAAAAAAACAAGCATTCAACATTTGAAATTGTGTTTTTGTCCACCTGGTGAATGTAAGTGCAGCATTCACTCTCTCCTTTTGTCTTTATTTAGAGTTTATCTTAAACTCTTTAGGGCAGGGGCCTCAAACTGCAGGCCTCTGGGCCATTTCCGGCCCTCCATAGATAAATAGATAGATACTTTATTTATCCCGAGGGACATTCCATCCCCCTACCTCCGGCCCGCAACATATAATATAATCCTGAATAATGGAAATATTTTGAGAATATTGTGCTTTCTTGTAGTACTTAAATGTTGAAGTGGTGAGATAACAATACCAACAGTTGCCCCGAGTCAATTTGAGTTTGAGACGCCTGTCTTAGGGAAAACATCTCGCAGCTAAATGCTACACTGGCTAGTGACTAACTGTCATTTGTTACAGGGCAGGTAGTGAGAATAAGATGGTTAATAAAAACACTGAGGCTGAACCAAACAATAAAGTTGGATGCCAAAAATAATTAGCTGAAAGATGCTGGAGTCGAACTGCATGAGCTATGAGCGACTCCTATCACATCATATTGGTGATTATATTACCAATATAACTGTTGATTAGTGCAGCTTTAAGTTGTTTTTGTGAACGTGTGAGGAACTTCTTCACTAGTTTTAAAACTGTTAAACTTTTAATTAGTGTTTATTAAGAACATTTCCCATAAAAACATATTCTTCTAGGAAATCTGACAAGTTCAATTCTAGTTAGTTATTTAGATCATCACTCATTCATATGTCAGATATGCAGTGTCTTTACTCACTCTCTCAGCAAAATAAGTATTTGAATAGATATTTTCGTTTTGGCAGGGCAAACCCACCCATGCTGCTTTTGCATTTGGTCCATTGGCGAGAGCTGTGATGCCTGTCTAGTGAACCACTGATCGAATTTTAAAAATGTCTGCTGCATCCCACAGTCTGACCGCTATCCAGGATGTCTGTCTGGAGTACTTTCAGGTGTCTGTACTCATCCAGTTGGAATTCCCATGCTCAGCACCATCACCAACACCACAGGGTACCTCGTCACTATAAAACCATGTGATGGGAAAGTCTCCTTAAACACTATAAATCTCAAAACAGTCAAAAACAAACTTTTTTTCATGTGACTTGGGAGGTTTTTACCAGCCTCAAAAGTGAGAGTGTTTGTTGGAGTCCCTTTTTTGTCCCCCAAGACACAAAGCCATTTTTGAACCTCTATGCATGTCAAAGGCCCGAGCCAGAAGCTGCGGCCTTGCTACAGTATTCACTGGACACAGGCTGCGGCCTTCCGCCAACCACTGTCAATTAAAGTGCAATTAGTCACACCAAAGCCTGCGTTTGAAAAAGCCCTCCACCAGTTCATTCCAGAGTCGCAGCGTCTCCACAGCAACCGGCAAAGTTTTGTGTGTGCTCACGTCCGCGCACCAGTCCCACGTTGGTTGGACTGCAGCTGCTGGCCCCCGTGAACCAGCTCCTTCTTTCCTCCGCCGTGGCCCCCGCTAACTTAAACACAACTCTCTGATTGATTGCCTGAAATCATGCTGCAATTATTGACCTTCAGTGAAGTCAGTCGTTTCTGCACAAAGAAACCTAAAGTAGTACACAGATGCAGAGTATAATGTTGTCTTACGGCATAATCCGCCTCGTGCCAACAGGATATAAGCTTGAGTGCTCTGTTTTTCTTTTTTTCAGAGTCAGGCTGCTGAAAACCTTTTTCGAGATTTTCTCGTTTTTTCTTTTTTTTTTTTCGGCAAGGCATCATCATCTGGAAACACTTATTCTGTGATTTACGAAGGCCCCCTATCGGATTTCCCCCAACACAAAAGAGCAGACAGCAGGAGAAACCTAGAAAATTCAAACCATTACAGGACGATTGATCCGTGCAAACTGCAGTCTTCTTTTCAGGAACAAATGTTTGAGTGTGTCTTTGACGTGAGGGAAAAGGCAGCATATAGATTAAAAGTGTTACATATATGTTTCACATGCAGATGGAAAGATATGTAATGGAGCTTAGAAAACTGTTCATGTGCTTAAACATTTCTGTACTTCAATTTCGTCCATCCAGTGTCAGCCAATGTGCTTTTACCTCACATCTTGCAAGCTAACTCCTGCACAGTAACAGTGCCATCCCACCACTGACCCACTTTACTGTAAAAATGCCTTTAAGATACAATGTCTGGCTTCAATTACCCCACCCAGATTTGGCATACAACATCACAGGCCTCTATAAAATTATCATGGCGGTTGTAGATGTGGCTTAATACACGCTGCCTTGTGTTACTTGATATGTTCTCTTTGATGTTGGCAATTGGTTTGGACTGAACTTTTCTCATCTGTGCAAATTCGAAGAGCAGTTTTTTTGGCCCGTTGGTCAGCGTCGGTTAATGTGCGGAGACATTCACATCAGTGAAGATGGCTCAGAGAACATGCAGTCAAACAGCTGAACTCAGAGTGCTCTCTTTCAGGTCGGAGGTGTCGAAACTACAACTCCCGAGCAGCACCAGGGCAGAGCAGCAGCTGAGTGTCACCAGCAGGCCTGCCCAGAGATGTTGCTCAGACTCCCAACATGACCGCTGTTCTCCGACAGGGCGTGCTGTGACCACCCCAGATAAGAGTAAGACATGAAAGTGCAGAATGCTGTGCTGACACCTCTGTACTGCATGATGAGGAGAATTAGTAGACAATGAATGATTTTTACTTCAATTTATGTGACAAAATTCAAAAGAGCACTTGCATCTGTCTAACAAAACCCAGTACACTTAGTATCTTCTTAATACAGCCATAATAAAGTGGGCTAATGAGAGCAAATGTACTGTTACAGATGGGGATTCAGTAGACTACCTCTGCAGTGACTGTTGATTAAGGACCGTTTAACAGAATCTTCCTAACTTGCAGATCCTATCTTAACCGTTTGGTAATTAGAGTTAGGACCTAATTTAGGAAAAAAGATTAGGCACGAATGATTTTCATATGGATTTTTTTCAGCTGATAAGATAATGGATAATTACCTGCTTCTCATGGCCAATACCGATAAGATAACAGATAGTTTGAAGTTAATTCTAGTAAAGTTCATTTTTTACATTACATTCACTACAGTTACATTTCTAGTAAATAATTTCCCATTATTGACCAATAATTTATCTGCCCTGATAATTGCATTCCTAAAACTGTCACGATTATCTAGGCCAAAATAATCTAAATTCACAATATTATCACAATAATCATTAAAAACACACTAGATCACACAAGCGTCCTAACTTTGTGTGTTTTTTGCCTGAAAAATCTAATGACTTTTAATGATGATGGTGTGTTGTGGCGTCTAGTGGAGGAGCAGCTGTTTCGTTCAGTGGAGGGTCAGGCAGCCTCCGACGAGGAGGAGGACAAGTGGACAGGAGACCAACAGAGGCAGGTGGATGAGGTGAAGAGGATCCTGACCAGGCTGTCCTGCTGTGGGGAAAGGTACTGCATCCCCATATAATGCTAAAATACACCCTAAACAGCTGTATTGTTCAGACGGGACTTGCCCCAAAAAAATTCTGATCCTATTCAACAGCTGTCGTAGATATGACCCTCACAGACTCTCTCCTCCTGTTGCCGATCAGGTGCGACGACAAGGCATTCAAGAAGCTGATGTCTAATTTCGGGAGCTCGAGGAGCGAGGAGAGCTGCAGCGCTGTGGTGGAGCTCCTGGAGAGGGTGACCAGGTTGCATAAGCAGCTGGAGCTGAAGGAGAGCAAGGCAGAGATAGACATGGACCAGGTACAAACCACCACTGACCTCCATCACACCAGGGTGGGCTCCTACAGTTTCCTCTGTCGTGGTCCTGGATCCATTTATACAAAACCATTCTCTCTGGACAATGTTCTGCCTCGATTTACATCATAAGTCATTTTGTGGCTGTGCGTATGGTGTTAAACTAGATTAGAGAGGACTGGTGAAGGTTGTTATGAAAGTGGAGGGCTTCAAAGGCAAAACCGCAGCTAGAGGCATGATCCTGCAGCTTCCACATAACCAAACCACCAGCAGAGGCACCAGAGCCTCCCTCTGCATGTGCGTGGGTGTGTTTGCAGCTGTTTCTCACTGGGGCCGACCACAGAAACACTCCCCCCTTGTCCCGCGTGACACTCAGGAATATCATAAATTAAAGCTCTCTTGTTACAGTCGAGTAGTATTTTCACAACACAGGAAGACGGGCAGAGCAGGAACCATGACGTAATGTGTTCCCAGAACGTCTCAGCACTCAAAGAGGGAAAGTTAAAACTAAACAAAGTCCTGACTGTGAGGCTTTGTTTATGTGCAGGATGTGTGGGGTGAGACCTTTGTCCTTCAATATGCTATGACGTAAAGGTGCACTGCAGGGATTTCCAACATTTTTGGCAGAGAAACATAAGAGACGTGGGCTGAAAACTCACTCTAACCTCAACATTTGACATACATTTACATTGGGGATATTTATATTGTAGAAAGATGTTCAACAGGCCTACCAAGTAATAATGGGACATTTCAAAGAGTGACATGTCCAGCTTCTATTGTAATAACAAGTTGTTTAGTCTGTGTTTGGTCTTGAAGGATAAGGTTGGCAGTATTCTACATTTTTCTTATTTTCAACAAATCCCATGAAAAGACCAAAACCCAACAATGAATGTATCTACTAACAAGTATTGTGTGTATCAAAGAATCTTCTGATATGTCCCTTAATTACCATGGACACACACTAGTTTATTTTGATTCAATGCCACATACACCCTTCTGCTACCCTAGATACTCACCAGAGCACAAAATGTAGATTAATCCACTGCTGAAAATAGTTCCCAACAAATAATCCACTGTTACTACCAGGAACTTTGATGTACTACAGTGCCCAGCTGTTTCAGGAAATTATATTTTAGTCCATACTATATGTTTGAGACCCCTTTTTAAAGATATACATCTTCTTTAACACCAAAGACGTGTAGGGATATCAGGGAGTATTGAGACACTGACTAACACGTTGTCGGTTTTGGTCTTTTCATGAATTTTGTCCATAATACAATGATACTTAATTGTTTCCTTGTAATTTTGCAATGCAGGGTTGCATGGTTCAGGTTGTAGTTCCCTCTATGCTATTCAGAAAACAAAAACTTTTTTTAATTATTAGTAAGAGTGCTAAGCATGTAGTGTGTTCACACTGGAAAAGTGCTGTAATTATAGTATACTCAAAGATGTACATATGTATATTTATATGAATGTGCACACATACGATGTATAGTGTACATATAGTGATGGACAGTGTGCAGGATTGTTTGGTTTTCTCTTCAAGCCAAGAGTTTTTGATCCTACGCACCTGTCTTTAGACTTAAATTACGACTGTGCTGTTGAACTATTGTCCTACAATGCAATGCACAAAGGAAATGGAGGAGCTGCCCACAGTTGGAAAAACTTTTAACAGTGGTGAGACAGTTCCAGGAAGAAAAACAAAAACATATAAAAAGAAAAAAAAAACTATAACTATAAAATAATTGAAAACATTTGTCTTCTTTTTGTTAAGCACATCTTATATTATTTCCTGTTGGCCAAAAACAGTAATGTACATAGATTTAATTTATACTAGCTCCAAAAACAGCAAGCTGCTATCAAAATGAGTGTCTAGTACACTGTGAGTAGTATGTAGTTGGGATACAGATGTATTAAGTTAGCATTAGCAGCTGCAGCCAACATGGCTTACACAGAAGTAAATTGTGCAAAAAATGTCATTAACAAAAATTAAACAAGCGAAATGTAAGTGAAAGTTGCAAACTATCTGCTGTAGAGTTAAAGAGTATCACCATCCTGGACTGCCTCATCAGTTCCAGTGGCTAATGGGTATTCCCAGGTCATTTCCAGCTGTTGTACTTTAATCAGATTGACTTGAAATCGGGTCAGTGCAACCTTAATACGTTTGTGATGATAAATCGGGAAGCTGTGTTGCGGTGGCGTGGCGGCCATTTTACCATGAAACGGGAAGTTTAACTCGAAGGTACATTGTCCAATCTGACCCAATATTCTCATGCTTGATAAGAGACCTGTTGTAATCACATCTAGATGTCAAAAGTCAGTGACTGTCATAGCACCACATGCTGGCAAAAGGACATAACATGTTTTATACTTTGATGTGCTCCTCCTAACAGCTTGACCAGATGCACCTCAAATCAGGTCAGAAAAGCCTTAATACATTGATGATGCTATATCGTGAAGCTAGTGAGTTTTCGTTGAACAGCGTGCCTGTTGCGTGGCGTCAAATTTATATGTGTCGCCATGAAACAGGAAGTTGCTGTAACTTGAGTGTACATGGTCAAATCTTCCCCAAACTTCACTTGTTTGATAAGAGTCCCAGCCTGAACACGTGTATATGCCAATATTCAGTCAAGCTCTGTGGGTTGTTCACACCATGATGTCATATGAGTTATTTAAAGGGAGGACTTTTCTCGGCCCATGGCATTCCACATAATTTAATTGAAAACGGGTGTTTGATACAGGAGGAAATGTTGTACAGTAAATTAAATTAATTTACAAGAAGTAGTGTTCTTTCTGTATATTGTGATTGTATGGGTTTGTCTTGTGTCTTCCAGATGAAGGACTCGCTGGTGCAGGAGCTGCAGCAGAAGGCAGAGGAGACAGAGCTGCTTCAGATGGAGCTGCAGATGCTGGAGACAGAGAGGGTGCGCCTGTCGCTGGTGGAGGAGAAACTTGTAGACATCCTGCAGCTCCTGCAGCAGCTCCGAGACCTGGTTAGTCACAGTTACAGTAGCCTGAAGAGGTCACGGCTGCTAATAACCACTGCTTTGTGCTAACATTCAACATGCTTTTATAATGTCAAGGCCCAAACATATTGTTTTGATTTTTAGCACAGAGAAGAAATCTTGTAAACAGCAGTCAGACAAAAACTCTTTACTGAAAAAAATCATTTTTTGCTGTGTTGGCAGTTGAGAGGGATCCACCCACACTGCACTGGAATGATTTTCAGACATCAGAGAGAAAATTTCACAATTCACTAGCATTGTTCAAGGACAAACCTCCATATGGACATTCATTCACTGACACTTTGACCTGTTGAAACAGCAAACAGATGTCTTACCTGTCCACTCTTTTAACTAATTATAGCTCTGAGAGCAAATTAATTTCACTGGTTGAACACACGTGAGAGCCTCTGTGGCTACAAGACTCAGATTGCCCATTAAAACCCCCGTAAATTGCCCGATAGCTATCTGAGAATCACTCTCTCTTGTTTCAGAACGTCTCGCGGAGGTCTCTGGGGAAAATCCTGCTCAGCACTTTGGAGTCTTGCAGCGACCCACAACACGGTTAGTGGGGCTCACACGCCCAATAAAGTCAATACAGGTCCTGTGAAATGTGATAATGAAAATTCACAGCCACTCAGGGCGGGGAATTGAATTAAACTCTCGCTGGGTCGTCCGTAACACAATTCCCCTCAGCGGTCACATCTGTTCTGTTTTTTTTTTTGCACAGGGAAAGCCCACATTCTGGAGGTGCTCAACGCTCTCTACCATGAACTGGCTGCTTGTGAGATTTTGTCAACTGGTGGACCCCTGGAGCGAACGCAGAGTCAGCAGTCCCTCAACGCCCTCATCATCTCCTGCTAATCAGGACTGCCTCTTGCTGGGCCACAGATGCTCCAACAGCCTTTCTAGAGGAAAGCTTAAAAGAACAAGCTGATTTATGTGTATAGTGTATTATATTGTAGCTTATATACTCCTCAGACCCTGTTATATTAAGGGATATTAGTCTGGAATGTTAGTGTAGCAAAGGGCTTTATTAGGTATAAAGGATGTTTGTGTTTATACATGTTTTTTTCAGATCTTTTATTGCACATAACTCTTTCATCAACCTATATGGATTTTATTTTTCCACAACAGAGTTCTGAATGTGAAAATGTTGAAATAAGCTAAACCTTAAAGGGGCATAAAGTAGTCTGTGAAATGTATCGACATCCAGTGGTCAACAGGTCAAAAACTTCCCCGACAGAATTGATTGAATTTAAAGGAATCTGCTTCATCTAAGTTTGCATTTCAATGTATCATACACAGACAAGTCCAGCCTATGAGAACAGACAGTCGGTGTGTATTGTGGGACTCTCGGGATGCCCCAGCGTTGTTTAAAGGACCAGTGTGAAGATTTTACTGACATCTAGTGGTGTAGTTGCACATTGCAATACCATCGCCTCCACCCTCCCCTTCCAAGATTGTTGGAGAATCCATGGTAGCCATGAAATGCATGAAAGGGTCTGTCTAGAGCCAGTGTTTGGGTTGTCCCTTCTGGGCTTCTGTAGAAACATGACGGTTCAACATGGCAGCTTCCGTAGAAGAGGACCCGCTCCCTCTGTAGATAAAAACAGCTCATTTTAAGGTAACGAAAACACGATACTTATATTCAGGGGATTAGGAAAACATACCTATGAATATTATATTCCAATTTTGACAATTGATCCTCCTAAATGTTACTCACTGGACCTTTAACGGTGTATCCAGGTGTCATTAACATCAATAATGTTGGTAATATCTACATGGTATTTGCATTCAGGTGCTCATGTGCATCATTATGTACTGGACCAGGAAAAAGCCCTGCAAAATGTCTGAAAAAACAACCTCAACTAAAGGTCCACAAACTCACTTGTTCCAAAGTTTTTGACCCTATTGCACAGTCTTCAGCAAACATAAGGAGTTTTTTTGTAGATGTTGAAACTTCCCATTTATATAGAAATAGAAATAGAATGTAATATTCATATCTATGTTTCTAATTAGTGTATAATCAGCTGAACGTAGAAATTGTTGTGTTTTTTGTGTTACCTAAGATGAGCCTTTTTGGTCTACAGAGGGAGGAAGAATAAAACAATGTAGCATCCAGCTCTTGTTGGCAACCTGAACTTGTTGTTAACAGGCTGTTGATAAATGCCTTTTTCATGGATACAGTGCATTTACCATTAACCTACTACACTCATTGTCCAGGGACTTGTCTCAGGTCACCGCTGTCTTTCACTAGGCAACTTCGTTGTTGGAAAATTTTTGCATAAAAGGGGACGAGGGTTGCCTAAATGCTGTATTAGTTTGGGTCTGTGTGAGCCTCAACCATGCAGGCTCAGCCAAGTATTCAGAACCTCTAAATATTATAATACCATATTATTACCATATTCATTTGTTAAAATGGGTCAAATAATATATCATTTGTTTCTATTTGAGAAGGCACCTTTTGTTGTGTGTCTGTCCCAAGAGGGAAGCACACACTGACTTTGGCTGATCACAGAACAGTACAAGTTAGCCTCCTCATGCTTGTTTCTCAATACAATACAACAGATTTACTTTCAATGAAATGTGCATTCTGAAACACACAACATGCTCATATCAGCTGGTTGTCTTGTCATTACTGTCTTGAAATAAGGGTCTTGGATGCAAAGCCACTCACTGGTGTTGTTGAATCATTTCATTAAAGCCTTTGACATACGCAGTCTGGATCGCTGTGATTTATTTATTTATGTTTGTGAAAAAGAAAATGTCAAACTACCACAGCTGCCAGCTCAATCAACCTGACCCACATCCATTTGGCAGGCATCAGAAAACAACTCATCACTGAAATCCTCAGACAGCAAGATGACGCTTAAATGTTGGGTCACTCTCCAAGAAGTTGTTTAAAACTATAATATTTTAACCCACAACCTGAACTATAATTTCTCTTACAAATGTATTTTTGTTTTATCCTCCATATTATAATATTTTATTCCTTAAGGTTATAGATTCACATTTCTCCATACCTTTGATCTTGTAGTACTACCTGTTTATCCTTTTCTGACCACAAGGGGGATGTAAGTTCCTATGTGCTATCCTATCACTCCTCCCACTGGCCTAAATACAGAGCAGCTGGTTCTAGGCTACAAGTACTGCATTCAAAATCCTTCTTAAGGAAAAACATGATCAGAAAAACGTACTTATAAATCAAAAGTTGAAGTAGCCAATTTATTGTGCAGCAGAATGGCCCTGTCAGTTACATTATTATCATCATCATTATTATTATTATTATTAGTAGTAGTAGTATTACTGAGGCTACTAACTATTTATCTATACCAATACATCTATTTTAGTTTTAATATGCAAAGTAACTAATTACTTACGTACTTACTAACTAGTAAGTAGGCTTTAACTGTCCAATAAATAAATAGTGTAAAAAGTACAGGATTTCCCAAGCGAAAATATAATATTTCATAATACTGTATTAAAGTAAGTAACTCAAAACTGTAACTGAGCAGACTTCAATGCAGAAGTTTAAGTGTTGTTTACTTAGTGATTAGGAGTTGCGTCGCTAGGCAACCACCGAAATCCCGCGAGATGACGCGTTTCATTGAAAAAGAAACGGACATCATTAGTAAATTTGTCATTTATGCAAACAACGTGAAAATATAAAGAAACGGAGGGGGAAATGCAAAGTCTTGATGATATGGTGGTTGGAGAAACCAGAACGCCAGTGGAGAGGGAACTTTAGACGCTCTCAGGTTCTCGCGGGATTTCCTGGGTTGCCTAGCGACGGGACTCTACTACCATAGCTACCTGTCCCAGTGTGTTTTACTCAGTCGCGTGTGCTCTTTCTAGGCTTTAAACGTTGAATTAGTGTGTGTTGTTGGAAGAAGTCGTTATGTGTGGACCTTTCAACCATTTTAATAGCTGCTGAAAAACGATAAGTTCCACTGAAAATGGCTACCGTCGTCGCACAGTCCCATTTCATCTTCGGTCTGCGCACAGGTGTGAGAAACAATTTGTGTTTCTTCGACGAGCAGACTGTCGTCTTCCCCTCCGGAAACAACTGTGTGTGCTACAACAGCCTCCAAAGATGTCAGAGGTTCATTCCAGGTAGGCTGAGTGACAGACATCTTCTCTTAAACTGTCAAAGTCATTTCTTTTAAGGAGTAAAAGTAACATACCTTGCTAATATTGTTTCCAACAGTGAGTTCTAGGGACATTATATTAATTATTGACTAATCTGCAGACTAAAGCGGCATTAGGCAACTTTTCTTAAACTTTCCCTATATCCTGACAGTAGTACATGAGACTGATAATCTGTGAATAATCCAGCTCCTCTGGCTCCTCCTAGTGCTCCTAATGGCATTTGCAAGAATTCCTTTTATGTTCCCTCTGTCAGTTGTTTCCATTGTCTCTACAGGCTCAGAGAAAAGCCAGGGCATGCGTGCTCTGGCCATCAGTGCCAACCGGCGTTACCTGGCGGTGTCCGAGTGTGGTGAGAAGGCCACCATCACAGTGTTCGACCTGCAGCATGAGCAGGGCAGGAAGAGGAAGGTTCTGACTGCAGGAGACATGCTCGTTCAAGAGTTTGTATGCATGGCTTTCTCCCCTGATTCCAAGTACCTAATAGGCCAAACCGGTGGTCCGGAGTGGACGCTCATCTTCTGGCTTTGGGAAAAACAGAAAGTCCTGGCAACAGTGAAGACCAGTAACTCAAATAATCCTGTTGCCCAGGTGAGTCATCCATGCTGTATCACTGCAACCACAGCCCTTGTACTCGCAAGCGTAGCCGGCTCTGAGCATGTTATCTCTTTTATTGACATCCCATCAGGTCAGCTTCAACCCTTACAACAACACGCAGCTCTGTGTGAGTGGAACTGGTGTGTTCAAGCTCTTCCGCTACTCAGAGGGAGCCCTGAAACAGTGCAGCTTCCCGAAGGTGGAGTCTATCAACTTCCTGTGTCATACCTGGATGACGGCGGAGCGTGTGATCGCTGGGACAGACACGGGCAGGCTGCTGGTGTTAGAGTCTGGAGACCTGCGAAGAGAGATTAACATGGCTTCCAAGGCTGGACAGGAGCAGTCTGACAGGTCAGAAGTTGGACCACATCAATACTGTGTCAACCAAGGACGTCCACAAGGCCAGGCTAAAGTTGCCTGAGCAACTGTTTGTTGCTGTTGTGGCTGCATAAATATAAGTAGCCTGTATTGCTAAAGTTAGAGCAAATGAAATAGCCATACTATCCGTACTTTTAGCATTTTCTTACACGTTGTGCAGTATTGCATGAACCAGTTTTAGGTTAGGTTAGCAATGGTGACATAAGTCCAGAACTATCATGGGAATAAAAACTTAAGGAACACCTGATCACTTGATGCAAAAGTAATAAATACAGATTTACATTATATTTTAAAAAGTAAACATCATTTGTGTAAATTTACTCTGTTAAAAAATACAAGGGCATTTGGTAAAGGGTGCATAATTACTTGTTTAGACCATCAACATATATAAAGATGGATGCCACTTTTCCATTTTCTGTCACTGTACAAAAATCAATCTAAAATATCTTGGATATGGCACAAGCAGGGCTCAGCTGTCAATCAGGACATGAAATGAAAAGCTAAAAGCCTAAAAGCTAAAGAGCAGCTTCAGCAACAGACTCCTTCATCCCCGCTGCTCTAAGGAAC